CCAAAAGGAACCGGCCTATCAGGTTCTGCCAGGCGGCTTTCAAGGACACCATGGAGGTTTTATTTGTCATGTAAACAAGTCTGACCGCTTCCTGCTGAGCCAAAACAACAACAACAGCTGACTGAGGAAATCTGCATTCAATGATAAAGTGAAGCCTGGTTTCTAGTCCGTGTTCCTGCGGAGAGAGCGCTCGGTTCTTCCATAGGAAAATAATATTAAAATGAATGCAAATATAGAGATGTAAAACTGAGTATTTGCCTTTCAGCCTTAAGTTTCTGTTTCCAGTCAACGAGAGAATGAATATGTTGATTATCAGAACCTGAAGAGTCTCCTTGAAGGAGTCTCCTTGAAGGAGTTTCCTTGAAGGAGTCTCCTTGAAGTCTCATTTATTGAAATGTCATGAAGATATCTCTGTCCTGCTGTTTTCAATCAACTGTTGTTTATATCCATGTTAATACTTGTGATTGTTGGGGATTGTTTTAATTATTATATAATATATCCTAATATGATTCTTATTTAAACTAATTTAAATAGTTTTGATGTAGAAGTTTGATGTTTTTATTATTTAATTAATTTGTAATTTTCACAAGGTGAATGTCACATGTTAACCTCTGAGTCACTGGACAGACTTTAGAGCCTCAGTTTCAAAATAAGAGCATGGAAAACCCCCTCAGTCTGATTCAAATCATCTCTTTCACTTCTTAGGAACTCTGTTCTGTAACAGGGTGTGTCAGTTTAGTGTGTGTGTGTGTGTGTGTGTGTGTGTGTGTGTGTGTGTGTGTGTGTGTGTGTGTGTGTGTGTGTGTGTGTGTGTGTGTGTGTGTGTGTGTGTGTGTGTGTGTGTGTGTAGAGATGAACTGATGCCAAACAGGATACATTAGAGGTTAAATTAAAATTAATTAGACACTCAGTCTGTTTAATGTGTGTGTGTGTGTGTGTGTCAGTTTAATGTGTGTGTGTGCGTGTCAGTTTAATGTGTGTGTGTGTGTCAGTTTAATGTGTGTGTGTGTGTGTCAGTTTAATGTGTGTGTGTGTGTGTGTGTGTGTGTGTGTGTGTGTGTGTGTGTGTGTGTGTGTGTGTGTGTGTGTGTGTGTGTGTGTGTGTGTTGTGTGTGTGTGTGTGTGTGTGTGTGTGTGTGTGTGTGTGTGTGTGTGTGTGTGTGGAGTTACTTTGAAAACGTAATCAGTTCCTGAATACAGTTACGTGTCTTAAAAAAGTCACGTATTCAGAATACTTTTGGAATACTTTCTGTCTCCATAACAGATGGGTATGTTTTGGTGAACAGGAGACACTTGTTTTAATGGATTATCAAGAACTCAAACACAACAGCTGCTCCCAAACTATGGAACTCTCTCCCCCTTCACATCCGACAGTCTGACACAATCACCACATTCACCTCCCTCCTCTCTCCCCACCTGTTCGATCAGCCTTCTCACTGCAGTACTACATGTCTCCATGTTCCCTGTTACAGTCCTTTTGTACTGACTTCAACCTTTCCTTAGAATATTTTATGAATTGTAAGGTAAGGTGTCCTTGGGTGCTTTGAAAGGCGCCCCTAAATAGAATTAATTATTATTATTATTTATTATTATTTATTATCTGAAACGATGTAATAACTTTTAAAACGTGTTCCAGTCACTTGCCCATCTAACCATCTCCGTTTCTAACTTTCAATATATTTAAAAAATACAAACATTTGTATCATCTGTTGTAGACCCAAATAAATACAATAAAATAATAATCATTCTCAAAGATTAACGCCATTCTTAAAATGTATAAACGAACAATAGTTTGATTAATATTGATTAGAGTGCACAAAATAAATTAAATAATTGAGAGAAGAAAAATAGATATGTTATCTATCAAACCCCAGTTAGATTAACATTCATTAGCACACTTTGTTTGAGATGGCGCAGACAAATCAACTTCCGGTGAGACCGAGGAGCGAGGAAATGAAAATAGTCGACCTGAGACAGGGGGCCCTTCTCACTTCTCTTATTTTTCATTTCCTCGCTCCTTGGTCCTCGGTCTCACCGGAAGTTGATTTGTCTGCGCCATCTTGAGTAGCGTCCCATGGCTCTTATTTCTGCCGGAGGAGCGATAACCGAGGAACCACCAGACCATCCTTCGTTGAAATCCTCAGACACTCGCCCCGCCCCCTTACTGTGTATCGCTCACTGATTGGACGATGCAGTGCATGCACTGATCTGATGCTTCTTGACATGAGAGCAGTTTCCCAGCGGAGTGAAGAAAACACATGAACCTCACGGGACTCACTCCTCAGTTTATACCGTGTTTTGTTTCAATTCCTGTTTCATTTAGTTACAAATATGTGAAATATCTGAACAACAAAGTGGGCAACAATCATTTTATTCATTTATTGGAAACATTTTCATGATCACTTTTTTCGTTTATACATTTTAAGAATGGCGTTTATCTTTTTTGAGGATGAGTTCTTATTTTATTTTATTTATTGGGGTCTACAACAGATGATGCAAATGTTAGTGTCAGTAAATGTGTGCTAACAGGGGGGGGGGGGGTGTGGAAACAACGGGGACAGAGCTGCTGTCAGACGATCAGCTGTTCAGCGTTCATCTTTTGAACAGTAAGAAAACCAAAGCAATGCTCTTTGCTCCCAAGTCAGCGTCCTCTTGCCTCTCCATTGACACCCTTGATGGCGTCTCTGTTGAGTTTGTCGATACCTACAAATATCTTGGCTTTTGGTTGGACAGTAATCTGAACTTCAAACATCACATTGAAGTTCTATCAAAGAAATTGAAATTCACTCTCGGCTTCCTTTCAGACTTAAATGTTGTTTTTCAACTTCTTCCCGTAAAAGGTTGGTCTCTGGCTTATACCTGTCCCAGCTGGACTACGGTGATCCATCTATAGATGTGCCTGTCCCTCTGTTTGGGCCCAACCTGACCCACTCTACCAAGCTGCACTGCGTTGTATATCAGATGCACCCTATAGGACTCATCATTGCACACTGTACAGCCTAACTGGATGGTCCTCACTTAGTGTGCGCAGGATGCAGCATTGGCTTTTATTCATGTATAAAGACATTTCAGGAAAGCTTCCACTCTACATCTGAGCCAGATCTGCTCCAGCTTGTGACTCTCAGAGCCTCAGACCCAGTGCCTGGATACAGACCCAGTGCCTGGATACAGACCCAGTGCCTGGATACAGGCCCAGTGCTTGGATACAGACCCGGTGCCTGGATACGGGTCCAGGTGCCTGGATACAGAACCAGTGCCTGGATACGGGTCCAGGTGCCTGGATACAGACCCATGTTCCTGGATACGGGTCCAGGTGCCTGGATACGGGTCCAGGTGCCTGGATACGGGTCCAGGTGCCTGGATACAGACCCAGGTTCCTGGATACGGGTCCAGGTGCCTGGATACGGGTGCTGGTCTGTCCTTCAGCACACTGACACACTCTGTCACTCTGGTGGCCTCTGATGAAGCTGCTGTCTTTTAATATATGATTATTTCTCTGCTCCAGTTCGTTCCTCTCAGATCCTTCCTTCAGTCAGTCATCGCATGTCAGTCAATAGAGCTTTGAAAAATGTGTCCAAGTCAACAAAATGTTTTTGTGAGTGAAGGCCAGAGCTAAATTATATAGTTTGATTGTGTAATTACAAGGTGAGAGAAAATAAATCCACATCCTCCTATGAAACCTATTTTATTTACATGGTATACTTATACTTACTTGCATTAGAACATTTGCATGTTGAACTACATGCTGATATATTTTCCCAGCCTCAAGGAAATATAATAGAATAAATGGATTCATAATGTAAACTATATCAAACACCACATGCATGGCAATTAACCCCTTTCTGTCTGCTATTTAAATTGACTTTGGTTAGTTAATACAAATATTGATATTATATAGATATAGATATATAGCATATCATTGATGCAGTCTTTCAGAACACTTTTAAAATAAAATACTGCAAATGAAGAATATTTTTAACCCTTAAACAGCCAGCGCCACCATTTGGTAGAGCACATTTTGTGTCTTGATGTCTTGCACCACAAGATTCAGAGTTTATAAAGTAAGTACACAGTAAAAGTACTTCATAGTACTTGTGGGGGTAGTTTCAGTAGTACTGAGTCCAACAGGATCAATCTCACGAAGAGAATGGCAACAAAAAAGAATTCCCTCATCAAACTGAGCAGAAGTGGCTTGATGTTGTTCTCAGCAGGGACTTTGACAGAGGATTTCTCACAAAGTACACAGTAAAGTACTTCACTGTATTGTAAGTAGTAGGCTAACTAATACAAAGTCAAACAGTATCAATTTCATTAAGAACTAATGGTTACATTATATTTGTATCATTCATCAAAGACAGCAGAAAACATGCATTACTAAGGAGGGGACTCTGACAGAGGATTACTCACAAAGTACACAGTAAAGTACTTCATTGTATTTCTGGTAGCAGTCAAACTAGAACCGAGTCCAAGAGAGTCAGTTTCCTGAAGAACTTGTGGTAAAACATATTTGTAAAAAAAACGAAGAAGAGTAGCTGATATCAAAAAACTTTATTATTTCATTTTTGCATTTCAAACCTTTATTTAATCTGATTGGTCCATTGAGATCATAGATCTCTTTTTCAAGGGAGACCTGCAGCATATAGGTTCCACATGAAACATAAAACAATAAAGGACATCATACATTATATTTACAGGATACATTTACATACATATTTACAGCCTTAATAACATTCATTTTCTGGGCTCAATATGTGTCTTGGCCATTTTCGTTAAATTTAGCTAAATTCCCCTTGTTTATAATATTATCACTTGTTTTGAAATCACTTCCGCGAGTTTCGCCCCGCCCCTCGCTCCAATGACCATGAGACATTTAGTAAGGTAAAAGCAAAAACACTTCTGTTTCTTTTCAATCAGATGTTGCAGCTGCTTGCAACCTTCCTTGTGAATATACAAACGGCTCACAATGAAATGACTGAGTTTTGCCTTTCTGTTTTTCTCCACATTTAGAAAAGGTGATGAGGGCAGAGCCTGGAGAAGACGTCACTCTTCAGTGTCACATTCCCACAGATGCTGCCATCACTGTGTTAGAGTGGATCAGACCTGAGCTGGAGGAGGACTCCGTCTTCTTCTTCAGAGAAAACAGGCTGATGGAAATCTACCAGGATCCACGTTATCGAGGTCGTGTTCAGCTGAAAGATCCAGAGATGAAGAACGGAGACGCTTCTGTTCTCCTGAAGAACGTCAACACCGACGACACGGGAACGTACGAGTGTCGGGTTCTAACTCACTCCAATAATCGCAGGAAGAGAAACGTGAGAGTGTTTGTGCGCTCTGTCCATCTGACCGTCTCTGAAGGTGAGTCTGTGTTTCTCCTGAAGAGTTCCTCCATTGGTTTAAAGATGATGTTGATGCTCTGTGATCGGTAGATAATGTCTGACATGAGACTGGAGAGGAAGCAGATTGTGTTCTTCATCTCCTTCATGATCAGCTGTTCTCCAACATGAGGGGAGGTCCAGTCGTTTCCTCACTGCTCGCTCTTTCTGTCCTCAGGTCCTGAGAAGTACCTGAAGAATGGAGACGCCAACGATGAACAACCAGGGGGTCCCAGAGGACACGTTGGGTTGGGAGTTGGTTTGGGACCAGTTTGTCTCGTTGTTGTTGTTGTTGTTGTTGTTGTTGTTGGTGGACTTGTTGTGAGATCTAAAAGAGCTAAGGTGAAGAGACCATTAGAGAGTGTTGATGTTGAACTGAACCCCTGACACGTCTCAGAGCTCTTCACACCTGACTGTCCTCCATCCCCTGCTTCTAATCTAAATCATCTTCTCCCTGAATCTCCACCTCGACGTGGTGGAGGGGCTTTACCCTCTGAGACGCAAACACCTGGTGAGGGTTGAACCAAACGTGACTCAGTTTCTAACTTCAGTCTGAGAGAGTGCAGAAATATTCTCCTTCAGTGATCAGCCAATCAGAAGGACTCTGCTGCCGAACACTTAGGATCCACGGTGAAGCCTGTCTTTCCGACTCAGCGCTAACAACATGGCGTCTGATCTGGTGTTGGTGTGTCAGAGCCTGGAAGTGATCGTGAGTTCACAAATATCTGATGCAGTGATTCATGGTGAGGTTATTTAGATATCAGCAGGTCAGCTTGAATCTGAACTCGGTGTGAAGAGGTCTCAAAGTGTGCATCTATCGTGTTGGTGATATATTTCAGTGCAATCTCTAAGTTGTCAGTTCTGGCGAAGGTTCTTGAACGCCTAGTGAGAGAACAGGTAAAGGTGTTTTTATGTAACAATGACATCCTGTCTGAACATCAGTCAGGCTTCAGAAAGCAACACAGCACCATCACTGCCACAATGAAAGTGGTGAATGATGTGGAGAGTATTTTAGACAATAAGCAGAGTTGTGCAGCTCTATTTGTTGACCTATCCAAAGCGTTTGATACCGTCGATCATCGCATCTTAAAGCAGAGGCTACTCAGTATCGGCATGTCCAGCCATGCAGTGGGTGGTTTGTGAACTACCTCTCTGAAAGGTCCCAATGTGTTCACTTTGATGGGCTGTCTTCTGAGTGGTTAAACATTGCTAATGGTGTTCCTCAAGGTTCTGTTTTAGGTCCACTTTTATTCTCCATATCAACAGTTTAGGTGAAAATGTGGATGAAGCTACTTTACATTTGTATGCTGATGATACCGTGATGTACTGTGCAGGTCCCTCCATTCAGGAGGCTGCTGTTAAATTACAGGCTGTTTTTAACATTATTCAGACTCAGCTCTCTGAACTAAAGCTTCTTTTAAATGTTGATAAAACCAAAGTAATGCTCTTTTCTAAAGCTACAAAGACACCAGAGCCTGTTTTAGATATTGTTACTATGCAAGGACAAGTACTTGAAGTGGTTACCTGTTACAAATACCTGGGTATCTGGCTTGATGATTGTCTCTCTTTTAAACTTCAGGTCAATAACCTGCTTAAAAAGCTGAGGGTTAGGCTAGGTTTCTTCTACAGGAACAAGTCCTGTTTCTCTCTTGAGGCCAGGAAAAGGCTCTGTGACCTTTGACCTGTGCTGGACTCTGGTGATCTGGTCTATATGAATGCACCTGCCCATTGCCTGGTCAAGTTAGATGCTGCCTATCACAGCGCACTGAGATTTGTCACAAATTGTAAAGCACTTACTCATCACTGTACCCTTTATGCCAAGGCAGGTCTGCCTTAAAGCTTTGTTGGGTAAACTCCCGTATTATATCTGCTCTCTGATCACACAGAGAGTTGCAAGCAGCTATTGTCAGAGATGGCATGATGTAGTATTGTTAGATGTGCCAAGAGCAAGGACTGTCTTAGGTAAGACAGCTTTTATGTGCAGCTCCACTTGCTTGGAACAATCTTCAGCAAGAATTGAAACTGAGGAATCTCATTCCTCTGCATGTTTTTAAAGCTAGGCTAAATGAAATGCTCGTTGATACTATGGGCACTTGTAAATGTCTATAACTATGTAAATGTATCCTGTAAATATAATGTATGATGTCCTTTATTGTTTCATGTGGAACCTATATGCTGCAGGTCTCCCTTGAAAAAGAGATCTATGATTTCAACGGGACCAATCTGATTAAATAAAGGTTTGAAATTAAATGAGTGCGTTGTTTTTACGTATAGCTCCAGAAACACAGTCTGCTTCAGGTTGATGTGTCTGCAGCTAATATCTCCACTATACTAAATACACTTTGAAAATATACGTCATACATAAATGATTGTCTTGAATAAGACTTTAAAATATTTTTTTTTCTTCTACCAAGTAGATTTACATGAAATGTGAAATAATGAAATCAAACCCAGCACCTCTTTAATATGAAAGTGCTAAAGGGTTAAAACTATACTAATAAGAATGAGATTAAATGATAACTGATTGAAGTTGAATCCGAGCATTCACAGGTAATAAATTGCACTTACCTTTGAGAACAGAAAGTGAATGAAACAACTAAATTCAATCACTTGGATTTAGACTCTTATTCCAACTATTTCACTTTTTTACTATTTTTCTTTTTGTTTACTTGCACTATGTTTCTGTGTATCTGTGTTATTGTGTTGCTCTGTTGGAGGAGCCTGGGAACTCAGATTTTCATCGTCATGACTACACTGTAGCTATGCATGACAATAAAGCCTTGAACCTTGAACCCACAGCTTGCTCTGCACTGTGTTCTGTATTTCAGTGATATCTTTTGTCTTTACTTTAGTAAACTGAAGTTCTATTTGTATCTTTTGTTCTTATTTTCATATCTCTAGATTAAAACTTGAAACACCTTAAATTCTGTCTGAAGTGCACTTTAAAGTCATGTTATAGAGTACCCCCCCCCCCCCCCCCCCCCCCCCCCCCCCTCAGGTCTGCAGTGGAGGTGAAGCTGAAAGTATTTAGCTTTCTGTTTCAGGGAGTTCCAGTTAGCTCTTTATCTCTAAACTCAACGCTCAGCTCGACTAGTGATGTCTGAATGAGCCGTTTCTATTTCATACGTTCTACGTTATTACTCAAACAGACAATAAAGGTTTCAAAGGTCAAAGGTTTCAAAGGTTAAAGGTTAAAGGTCAGCGTGAGTCCTATTTGAACTTAAGGTGAGTGTTTCCTCAGTCTGCTCCGTTCTGCTTCTGCTGCATGTGAAGGCTCTCACTGCTCACTTTTTACCTCACTATATTTATTTGAACTCTTTTACGTATAAACCTGCGCTCTGCTGATGACGCAGTGCTGTGCATCAGATATACACGAACACTGAATATTAATATCCTATAACACTGAATCTAGATACTTTAACAACACACTGAGTCTCTGAGCAGTAACTCCTCTCTGCTCTTCTGTCACATGACTCTTTACCACAGCACCACGTCTCAGACTTCTTCTCTTAATGTTAATGACGTATTCATTCCTCATGAGCAGTGGCGGCGGGTCATTAGGGGCAGGTGGGGCACAGCCCCACCTAGTGTCAGAAGAAAGTATTACAAATAATGATTACAAAAAAATACAAAAAAATAAATAAAAAAACATATAAAATATATTGTAAGGTCATGTTTAATAATCTGATTCGTCTGTACATTTCTGTTTTAGTCTGTGTTCTTCTAATTAGTGTCTAGAGTGCCGTTTTGAGCTGTTTAGAGCCATGTGGGACACAACCCGATCCTGCCCCTCCCTCTCACAGTCTAAGTGAACGGTGATTGTAAAAACTACACTGCGCATGCTCAGAGTATTTTTCTATTTAATGTGTGTGGCAAAAAAATAATGACCGTAGGGGCATAGTGCTCCCATCCCCACCATACGTCATCTCACATAATTCAGAATTGATTGGCTGTAAGTACTCACGTGTGCAGTGCTGCGAAACGTCACGTGTAGTTTGAAGAGGAGACGAGAGAGCAGCATATAGCTAACATCACCAGCGATTAAAAGAAGTAAAAAACTGAAAGAAAATGAATGAAGTTGACCATTTACTGAAGCACACATTTGAGACACTTAGTCTCGGAGAAAACTGGAGGTAAAGCGCCTCGGTGCCCACCATCCACCGGATTTCCAAATGGTCCAGACTGCGGGCAAAGTTAAACGTGGGTTTAACGCTGAGTGGTTTGCTAAAAAGAAATGGCTAACGGCGAGCATCCAGAAGAATTCCCTCTTTTGCTTTCCTTGCCTGCTTTTTGGTGAAGATCAAGGTACTTGGTCGAGGACAGGTTACAAGGACTTAAAGCATCTTTCGGAGAGGACAATGAAGCATGAGAGCAGCAACAGTCATTTGGAAAATGCCGTAAAATTGGGATTACTTGGAAGGGTGAATGTTGCAGCTCAGATTGACAGCGCCTACAGACGTGGCATTGATTCTCATAATAGGAAGGTGGAAGAAAACAGGTACGTGCTTGGTCGGATCATCACCTGTATTAAACTGTGTGGGAAATGTGAGACAGCACTGCGGGGCCACAACGAGTCGGTGGACTCTCTGAATCCAGGGATATTCAGGTCAATTTTCGAGACAATGTGTGAGGGCGATTCCAGGCTTCAACGGCACTACGAAGCTCAGCTTGTTTTCAAAGGGACATCAAGCACCATACAGAATGAACTCTTGGACTGCATGTATGATGTGTACAGGGAGGAAATAGCCAAGCAAGTGGACAACACATCATTTGTTGCCGTTCAGGCCGACGAGACAACCGATGTCTCCTGTAAATCGCAAATGGTGATTGTGCTGCGATACATTATGCCTGACCTCACAGTTACAGAGCGTTTTTTGGAGTTTGTGGAAGTAAAGGACAAAACTGGTGTAGGTCTCTCTAACAGCATCAAGGCTGTTCTGGAACCCCTGAAGCTGAAAGAAAAGCTAATCGCTCAGACCTATGACGGGGCGGCCGTCATGAGCGGTAACGTGCGCGGGGTACAGACGGTGATGAAGGAGACGTACCCAAACGCTCAGTTTGTTCACTGCTACGCCCACCAACTGAACCTGACCCTGCAGCAACTGTGTTCAGCAAGGATGAGCATCCTGAAGGGGTTTTTTGCAGATCTAACTGCTTTTTCCACTTTTTTCCCCGGTGCTCCAAAACGTGTTGCAGCTCTTGCAGAGGCAACACAGAGACGGCCACCGGCTGTGAGATGGAACTTTAAAAGCAGAACTGTGAACGCGGTTTGGGAGACCCGAGATGCACTACTTCAGTGTATGAAGCATATACGCGCACAACCAGGATGGGATGCGGTCACCATAAGTGAGGCATACGGCCTGTCAAAGAAACTGCGGGACCGAGCATTTATGCAGCTCCTGGAGTTTTTTTCGTTGCTTATGCCAGAAGTGGATGTTCTATACAACACTCTGCAAAAACGAAGCATCGATGCACCTGGGATCAACAGCGCGCTCTGCCGTTTCAAGGAACATGTCCAGAAAATGAGGCAGCAAACTGATGCATTGGCCGCCACTGCTCATGATGGAACAGACGAGCCAGGCCGACGAGTCAGCAGCACAGCGCCGGTGATGAAGGAGGCTTGTGACACAGTCATCTCACAGGTGGAACAGAGGTTCTCACAGAGTGACCATTTGATCGCTGCAAAGCTTGTTGACAGCTTATTCTTCCCACAGCATGTCCTGTCATTTCCTACACCTGAGCTTGACTGCGCCGTGAAACTGGCCTGCGTTGGGAAACAAGGAGAAGTTGAAGTCTGAGCTGACCACGCTCTACCGCCACAGTGAGCTTCACACTGGAAACACTGCCCTGTCTCTGTTGAAA